GTATGAACCCATTATGGAGTGTATATTAAGCTGTTGTCAATCTGCAATAAATGAAGTTCGTGGATTCTCACATTGAGCGTCCCGTGTCTTCCCTCGTCATGACATTTATGGCGCCCGTGGACAGGGATTAAGCTCATTATTGGTACTTACTTAAGTGGTGATATCATCTCAACTCCCTTCCATTGTTTACACAGGTGGCTCTTCAACTGCTTTTGTTTTGCTATTGCCAAGCTCCTGTTTACCAGCCAGATTTAGCATACACAAGGACACTGCTGCTTTCTCATGGCCTTGCTATCTCAGACTTTTTCATGGGCCTAGTCAGACTGCATTCTATACTTTAGCAGCTCATCCATAGCCTTAGCCATGTCCATATGTCCCCGTTGCTAACCAATCCTCTACAAATCTGTGCTCGCAGCCTGAGTATGTTCTGACCCCCTGTGCTCCCCCCAGAATATTTGGGATGAGTTCACCCTTCCCAGGCACCTGTGGGGTGGGGGAGCGATTGTTCTCCTGCTGTTCATGTTCCCGCTCCACCGTTGGGGGCTCTTGGGGCTGGGAGGTGTTTTTTGGGGGTGCCAGGCTGGGTTGGGGGCAGAGCCCCGGTGGTGGGCGGGGGGATGCGGGTCCCCCCTGCAGTGGGGGTTGGTGTTGCTGGGTCAGGCCCCGCTGGCTCCATTGTCAGCCCGGTGCCGGCAGGGGAGACACAGCAGTTTTGGGGCCCCCCAGGAGTGCCGGGGGTGGGTGTGGAGCCCGGGAGCTGCCGAGTGTGGAGGGCAAGGCGGGGCAATGCCGGAGCTGGGGGACCCTCGGCAGCCTGGAGGGGGGAGCACGGAGAGGGAGGAGCCCCGGGACCCCCGGGAGCCTGAAATGGGGGGTGTGGAAAAGGGGAAGCCTGGACAGTGGGGACCCTGGGATCCCCAGGACAACAAAATGGAGAACGTGGAGAAGGGGAATGTCTGGGAACACGCACCCGAAAGGCGAGAATCAGAGGAGAAGGGACCCTTGGGACCCCCAACACTCCCAGCATCCCTAGGTGGGACCCCCTGCATCCCAGATAGAGAAGACCCTCTGAACCCCAGAGAGGAAAGACCAGAGAGGGGGAACTCCTGAGACAGATTTTTTGGGCTAATCTTCATATTTTGGAGTATTTTTTAGCTGAATCTCAACTTTTTGCAGTTTGGAGAGTGAGGGTCTTCTTGCTATTTCTGAGGGGTTTTTTGTCTGAATCTCAGTGGTTTGGGTTTTTCTGGGCTGAATCTTGATGTTTTGGTGGTTTTTATGGACACAGGATGCCTGATGAGTTCTAGAGGTGGACTTGGGCAGGAGGAACCCCCAAGCCAACGCGCTCAGCCCTTGTTTTCCCCCCCATCAGGATTTCTCCTTCCCAAAGCTTGACCAGATGAAGGAGGCTGTGAGGAAGAGGAAGATGCCACGGGCCCCCCAGGCAGGTGAGGAGGAAGTCAGTGCCCCTTTGTGCCAGTGTTGTCCTAGCTCTGTCAGCCCAGCATGGCCCCGGCTGCAGGACAACCCTGCTGCCACCGCCGTCCTGCTGGGGCCGGAGTTGGGGGGATGTCCTTGGCCTTCCCACTGGGCCAGAGGCAAATCCCCTCCCTGTCCTTCTTCCTTCCTGCCCCAGGCCCCGAGCTGAGGATGGAGAGCCCGGAGGACAAATCCCCCCGTGAGACCCTGGTGGGAGAGGCCGTTTTGAAGGGCTCCACGGCGCAGGAAGGCAGCAGGGAGGAAAAGGGCCAGAGATCCTCCCACAGGAGGGGCTCCAAAGCCAGCCCAGGGTGCTCTGAGGAGGAAAGACCCAGCCTGTGCCGGGAAGGCGGCCGGAGCTTGAGGCGGAGCTGCGAGCTGGTGGTCCCTGAGCAGCCTCCCAGCAGAGAGAAGCCGTTCAGGTGCTTGGAATGTGGGAAGAGCTTCAGGCAGAGCACCCACCTCCTCACCCACCAGCAGATCCACACTGGGGAACGACCCTACACGTGTAGGGAATGTGGGAAGAGCTTCAGGAACAGCTCCAACCTTGTCACCCACCAGCGCATCCACACCGGGGAACAGCCCTACAAGTGTGGGGAATGTGGGAAGAGCTTCAGCCAGAACACCAGCCTCCTCAACCACCGTCGCATCCACACTGGGGAACGGCCCTACACGTGTGGGGAGTGTGGGAAGAGCTTCAGCCTGAGCTCCAACCTCCTCAGCCACCAGCACATCCACACTGGGGAACGACCCTACGCATGTGGGGAATGTGGGAAGACCTTCAGTGACAACTCCAACCTCCTCGCCCACCGTCGCATCCACACTGGGGAACGGCCCTACACGTGTGGGGAATGTGGGAAGAGCTTCAGACAGAGCTCCCACCTCTGCAAACACCAGCGCATCCATGGTGAACAGCCTTACGTGTGTAGGGAATGTGGGAAGAGCTTCAGTGACAGCTCCACCCTCCGCACCCACCAGCGTATCCACAGCGGGGAACGGCCCTACAAGTGCTTGGAATGTGGGAAGGGGTTTCAGACCAGCTCAGATCTCCTCAGGCATCAGCGGGCACACACAGGGGAGAGGCCCTTCCGCTGCACCGACTGCGGGAAGGGCTTCAACCGGAACTCCCACCTCGTCACCCACCGGCGCATTCACACCGGGGAGAGGCCCTACAAGTGTGGGGAGTGTGGGAAGAGCTTCACTGACAGCTCTGCCTTGACCAAACACCAGCGGACCCACCGGTAAGGGAAGCCTTACAAGTGCCCCGACTGCAGGAAGAGCTTCAGCTGCTGCTTCCACCTGAATGAACCCCCCGATAGTGAGGCAACCCCTGGAGTCCAGTGACTGTCAGTCCATCCCTTTCGACCAGAAAGGGCCAGTCCCCTTTCCCAGGGGCAGGTTCTTCCAACAGAACCCTTCTTGAGGGGGTGTGTGGAGATTCCTGCCTTGGCTGGGGACCCTCCAAGGTCAGTCCTGGAGGTTGAGAGCAGAGATCTCCCCCCGAGCGTTGGTCTGGGGGAGTTCCATCCACCTCTAATTAAGAATTCTTGCTTTTGTTCCAGCTTTAGTGGAATTGCTTCAACAATTGCTTTAGTGTAGAGCACTGTCCTATCTTATCCTGTTCTACTGGTAGTTTTAGTGTTTATCATCATCATGGCGAACGAAGATTTGGGAAGGGCTCTACCCACATTTGCTGCAAGTGCGCTGGTGGCTAAAAAGGCCAATGTGAGATAGACAAGTCCAGTTGCAAAAGGCACAGCAGAAAGACTCCTTGGATGGTATCGACAAGACATGATTCTTTCTGCGTTGTCTTTTCTCCTCGAGAGTGAACCTGCATGTGTTCTCAAAAGTAGCAGCAGCGTTATAGATGGTGTGTCTCCAGACCTCCTGATTGGAGGCCAGAGTAGACCAGTGATGATGATCTATACGACCAAGGCTGAGATGTTGTTTCAGGGAGTCCTTGTATCTCCTTTTCAGGGCTTCTCTCTTGCGGCAGCCAGTGACAAGTTCACCATAGAGCAAGATCTTAGGGAGGCGGTGGTCCTTCATCCTGGAGACGTGTCCTGCCCAGCACAGCTGTGTTCTCAGCAACATGACCTCAATACTCGTAACCGCTGCCTGCTCTAGAACAGATGTATTGATCACATAATCTGACCAGTGGATGTTTAGGATTGTACTTAGACAGCACTGATGGAAGTGTTCTAAAAGTCGCAGGTGGTGGCAGTAAATGACCCATGATTCAGACCCATATAAGAGAGTAGACAGCACAATGGCTCTGTAAACACTGATCTTTGTACTTTTCTTCAGGTGTTTATTTTGCCAGATTCTTTTATGGAGTTTTCCAAAAGCTCTCTATGCCTTTGCTAACCTGTTGTCTATCTCTCCGTCAGTCTTACTGTCCGAGGAGATGATGCTTCCCAGATAATTAAACTGCTGGACTGATTTGAGCACTGATTGGCCAATGGTGATAAGGGGATGATGGAAGACTTCTTGAAGTGCAGGTTGATAGAAAACTTTTGTCTTCTTCAAACTGACTTCCAGCCCATAAAGCTCAGCAGCCTCTGCAAAGCAGGATGTTAAACGCTGCAGAGCTACTTCTGTGTGGGTGACGAGGGTGGTGGTGTCAGCGTAAAGCAGCTCCCGGACAAGATGGTTTAAGGTCTTGGTGTGGGCCTTCAGTCACCTTTGGTTGAATAGGCTTCCATCAGTACGATATTGGATGTAGATCCCATCTTCTTCATCGAGATCTGCTGTGGCCCTTTGGAGCATCCTGCTGAAGAAGATTGTGAATAGGGTTGGTGCAAGAACACAACCTTGTCTCACACCATTGGTTGTTAGAAAGGGCTCAGGGAGTGCATCACCATGTCTGACTTGGCCGTGCTGATCCTCATGGAGTGAGATGATCATTTTAAGGAACTTGGGGGGACATCCTAAACGTTTCAAAATCTGCCAAAGACCTTTTCTGCTCACAATATAAAAAACCTTGGCGAGATCAACAAAGGTTCCATAGAGACCTTTGTTCTGTTCCCTACACTACTCTTGCACTTGTCTGAGAACAAATCCCATGTCTGTGGTACTCCTGTTGGCTCTGAAACCACACTGGCTTTCAGGTAGAAGTTCTACTATAGCGGGTATTAGTCTGTTCAGAAGTATTCTTGCTAGGATCTTGCCAGCAATGGAGAGCAGAGTGATACCTCGGTAATTTGAACAGTCTGATTTATCTCCTTTCTTCTTATACAAAGTGATGATGACTGTATCTCGAAGGTCTGATGGTAGTTCACCTAGTTCCCAACAGTGCACCACAAACTCATGAAATTTAGCATGGAGTGCTTGGTCCCCGTGCTTCCAGACTTCAGGTGGAATTCCACCAACCCCAGCTGCCTTGCCAATTTTCACCTGCTGTATGGCCTTAAGGGTTTCTCCCATAGTAGGGGCAATATCCAATTCATTCTTCACCGGTTGTTGTGTAATGTACTGAATTGCTGAGCAAGGTGTGCTTGGTGGGCAGTTCTCTTCTTTACCAACAATTCCTGGATCTCTTGATTGTTTTCATCAAACCAGTCCTTGTTCTTCTTGAAGGAGAACCCTAAAGATTCTTCAGAGGACTGCAGGATGCTATTTTTAATATGTTGTCAAAGAGCTTTGGGAGAGAGATCTATGGAATGATTTTCAAGTCTAGTTTGAAGATTTACCTGGAATCTGTCTCTCACTGTAGCTGTTTGAAGATTGTTAACTTGGAGTCTCCTCCTTGGAATACCGCCCCTTTTAGGTTTGAACTTAAAGTGGAAGTTAAGTTTACAACGCACAAGTCAATGGTCTGTTTGACATTCTGCACTAGGCATCGCTCTGGTATGGCGAACATCGCGAACGTTTCTCTGTTGCACCAAGACATAATCAATGAGGTGCCAATGCTTGGATCGAGGATGCGTCCAGGTTGTCTTCAAACTATCTTTCTGCTGAAAGATAGTGTTGGTGATGGTGAGCTGCTGGTCCGCACAAAACTCTAGCAGAAGGCGTCCATTATTGTTACAGTTTCCAACACCATGCTTGCCTAATACTCTAACCCCACCCCCCCGCACCGCACACCCGTGGCTCTCCAAACGGGACTGCCACCGGCCCAGGGAGCCCCCTCCCCCAAATGGGGCTGCCCCACCCGCCCTCCTGCTGGTCCAACGATCCCTCAGGCCCACCCGGCCCCCCCCGATCACCGCCCAGCCTGGCCTGGCCCTGCGACCTGCTGACCATCCTGCACGGCAGGGGCCATGTTCCCTGGAAGTCCATTTAGTCTCTACCCATAATGGAAAAATTGTTCTCCAAATTCATCAATTTGCATGTCTCTTCAGCTAAATTAGCATATGGTCCTAGCCAAAATTCAACAGAAGCTGCAAATGTTTTGTGGAAACTGAATCTAATCCTAGTGTCCTGCTCATGACTGGCATGAATACTTAGGAATGCTGTAAAAATTATTTATAAGCCTAAATTCACGTCCACCATCTTACAGTTTTCCATTTGCTATTGGGAACCCCATGAAAGACCTGGGATACAGCTGGGCACTTCAGTATGTGCTGTCAGGCATCAACTGCAACCTCCTCATGCTTCTTCTCCTTAGCTCTGCCAGAGGTTCCCTGGTGTCTGAGCGGTTGTAGGCAGAGCTCCTCCACCTGGACAACCAGAAGAAGGCAAAGAGCAGCAGGAGGATTCCAGCAGGGACCCAGAACCACCAGTGCTGGCAGGCAGAGAGGAGCACACTCTTCTGGGTGATTGCGGGCTGCTCCTGGCTCCTCTGCTCCCTCTCAACCAGCATCTGGCTCCTCTGCTCCATCTCAACCAGTACCTGGCTCCTCTGCTCTATCTCAAACAGTTTCTGGCTCCTCTGCTCCCTCTTCTTCAGCATCTGGTACCTCTGCTTCATCTCAAACAGTGGTTGGCTCTCCTGCTACCACTTCTGTAGCAGCTGGCTCCTCTGCTCCATCTCTGGCAGCAGCCAAGCCATCTCCTGCCTCTGTTGCTTCTCATGCTGGTACAGGAGCTCTTGAGTGGCTTCTTCTCTCTCATCACCTGCTCTCACCACACACAGGAAGATGCTCAGCACCACCAGGAGGTAAGCGAAGCTGCCAGACATGGCACGAATGATAACTCGTCTTTACAGTCACTTGGATTTTCTCAGGAAATTCCTAGAACCTGACCTGCGCCATCCGACAGGGGCAGGAGACCGCGGGATGGCAGGAGTTCCCCTGCTCCGGCACTGCCAAGTGCATCTGGGACCCTCACCACGTGGGACCCTGCTAAAAGTCGCTGGGACCCAGGTGGCGGAGCACTGGGAGAGCCACAGGCAGCCAATGTAGTGTCCATGCAGCGAGAACAATCTCGAGTTACCGGTAAACTGCTAATGGCAAAATCTCCATACCTTGTTAATGTCAAAACCAACCCTCCCCGGTGTCCTCTGTGGGTTCATCACTTACCGAGTTAACGTGTTCTATGCACGCCTCCTCAAGCTGGGACACTCAACAAGCTGACCGTGGGCAGGATGGCGACACCCAACCCACGGCATGGCTGCCACGTGGCTGCAACTCAACAGTGTCTCGGGGACTCAAGGTCTGTCTCTCCCCAACAACCACGCAGTCCGCGCCATGTGCTTGCTCCTGCCTGCACAAAACCCAGCCCAAGTCCTTTGTTAGGTTCTTTCAGTTTGCATGCGGTTCTTGGTCTGCACACTGTTCTCTCCCACCCCCCTTTCCGTTCCTGGTGTCTGAGGGAGTTCTTTGTCTGTTAGGGCTCGTGGGGGAACAGGAGTTTTAAAGTTTTTCTCCATGGACGACTTTAAGTTTCTTTGTGAGATTTTTCAGGTGTTCACATCTTCTATCTTTGCTTTCTCTCCAGCTGTTTCTCCAGATTTTTTCCAAGCAGTCACATTAAGGATTCTGCTTAGCAGGAATCTTGATATAATTATTTTTATCCATTTTAATGACCGAGTAGCTTGGTTTGCGAGGTTTCTTTTGAATATTGTCTCAAAGCTTTTGCATTTATGCCTATTTCCCTTAAACCTAAACTTCCCATGCTGGCTTCTTACCTGGGCTCTCCTGTAGCTTTGCCTTTTCTTTCTTTCAAAGCTTACTCTGCCAGGGCTCTCGTGCACACAATACTCAGATTCTCGGAGCTCCTAACGCAGTCTCTACTGCACGACGTCCCAGTCCTTTTCACACTGGTTTCCAACGTCCTGTCTTTAACGATGTCCTTCACCCACTTTTATCTCAGTATGTGACGTCTGGCTTTATTTTTCTTCGGAAAGTGCTCCTCAGCTT